TGTACCGCAGTTCTGTGTGCATAAATAAATCAATCAGCTTAAAAAAATCAGTTTAAGTCTCCCTTTGCAGCACATGTTATTGTGTGGCTCTCGCCTATCTAGCAACTGAGTATGTCTTTCGGGTTTACTGGTGCCTGCATGATCTGTTGTCACATCAAATAACAAACATACCAGAGTAAACGTGTTCTTCCTACCTGGACCTGACCCTCCTTGTTTCTTATTTACCTGACTCCAATCATAAACTCCTACTCATCATTCCCGATTCTCTTCTTTGACAAATACACTCCCTTTCCCATGTTACAGGTTGAGCTGACATTCAGTCTGCTCTGTTTCTGTCACAGCTTTCCCTTCCCCTCCTGGTTCCTGCTCCCGTTGTCCTCAGCCTCCATTTTTTGCTTGGACCTCTCCACTCTTACCAACCTATTCCTAGTGTGGGTCCGTCTTCCCAAAAGGGTCAGATAGGCTTTTTGTATGGACTCAGAGGAGGCCTTTTGTTACCTTAGTAATGGGAATCAGAGGTTGAATCAATACCCAGTGAGCCTTGGAAGGTCCATTATCATTACATAATAAATGGAGATTGTTTAACGTGGAGAGTAGGGGTGAAAGTAATGCATGTAACTAAAACCTTTAAAAATCTGACCTAAGAGAACCCCACAGAACTTTTGTTTGTGCTATACAAGTGCCAAATAATGAGCATATTGGAAATTACACCCCCAAACTTTTTTTAAAAAAATAATATAATAGTTTATTTTTACATCATTTTGTGCATTTTTCCAACTCAGTTGTAATTAACAAATCACCCGTGTGCCATCACCATAGTCCAGTGCATTTCCCTCCCCCTATTGTTTTTGATCCCATTTCCCACTCCACCCCCATAAAATGTCTCTGGTATATAGCTGTTCATTATTATTATTATTTTCTCGCCTGGCCCCTTATATTCCCGCTATGAGTGAAACCATCTGGTATTTCTCCTTTTTTTCTGGCTTATTTCACTAAGCATGACCTTTTCCAGCTCCATCCATGTTGTTGCAAAAGGCATGTGTTTATTTTTGGACAACCTCAAACTTTTAAAAATAGTTCTTTATAAAAAAAAATAGTTCTTTATATATTTGTTTCAAAAATAACAAATACATTGTTGTGTAAAAGTTGACCTACACAACGCACTGGTCATTCAGCTTCAATTTTATTTAACTGCGCTTTCTCCCTGGGCTGGCACAGCTCCCAGCACCAACTTGCTGACTCCTTATTGGGAGAACCGCGCCGGGCCCAGCGTGGGTGGCTGGGAACCCGCTCACCCCGCCCAACCCGGCGACTCGCGGCCCCGCCCCTCGGCGCGCAGGCTCCGGGAGCCAGGGCGCATGCGCGGGTCTCTCCGACTGGCGCGAGCCGCCGCCGCGGCTGTCCCTTCCCCCGCTCGAACCAGCGCGCGTCTAGAACCCGTCGCCGCCGCTGCCGCGGCCGCCGCGGTCGGTTGTCGTCATGAGTTCTCCGTGGGATGAGCTGACCCTTGCCTTTTCTCGCACGTCTATGTTCCCCTTTTTTGACATCGCCCACTACCTGGTGTCGGTGATGGCGCTGAAGCATCAACCAGGTGAGTGCGGGGCGCCGCGGACTGACCCCCTCAACCCCCCCTTAGCATGGTCTGAGCCGGGCGAGCCGCCGACGTGACTCTGGCTCAGACTCCTGGGGTGAGCTGGCGGTGCCCCAGCAGCTGGCTGTCCCGTCCCTACGGTACAGATGGGGAAACTGAGGCCAGGAAGGGGCGGCCCCTTTTTGAAGCCCGGGCGCGGTCCTGGACGACTCCCACTTTCTGGGGAGAGCTCTGAACTGGCACCGGCGCGCGGCGGGGGGACGCTGGGTCCCTTAGTCGCGTGGAGGCTGGAGGGGCTGCGTGCTGCTTTCCACTGGGTAGTAGCGTAAACGCCTCCCAAGCCTCGGGCTGGCTCACTGGTGCCCCCCTGGACGCAGAGTTCTGCCACCTTGCTCAGCTGTTAGAGTGAAGCGGGTGGAGTCGGTCCCGCGGCAGTCACTGGACAGTGTCACTCTGTAGCATGGGACGGTAGCCTGTCCATGGCATCTTGAGTTTGTCTGAGAAAACCCTCGGGGAGCGATGTTTGTGGTTTCCTGCCTTTACCGATTAGTGTGTTGCTTTACTTTTGAGATTTTTCTCAAACCCTTTTGTTGAGACTTTTCTACCTGCCTTTTGGTTTCATTAACCTGCTTTCTTTGACATGAGGTATTTTCGTTGCTTGCACCAAGGCCAAGCTGCCTTTGATCTGCTTTGTTCTGCAGTGTTGAGTGAGGACTTGAGGCGAATGCTGTACCTCTCTTTTAAACCTTTGGACCTCAGAAAATATTTCGTATTTCCACTGAAGCTTGTGCTCCTTCTAAATCCTTGTTTGGTAGAAATTTGGACCTGCGAAGGGGAATATTACTGTGTCAATTTAGGACAGATCATCTGCATCAGATATGGCTTCCTTGATTGAAAAGAAGTACTTTTTAAAATTATGCTATATTTAGTATCTGATACTTTCTCGTATAGGCTAAATCAGAGGTTCTCAAATTGTGGCCCAGGAACCCCTGGGGTTCCTGACACTTCCAGCTCAAAATTATTTTAATAATAATATGCTGATGTTATTTGCCTTTTCCACACCTTTTCTCATAATTGTACAGTGGAATTTGCAAGAGGTTACATGACCTCTAACCTGTAATGTTGAATGCAGAAGCAGATAGGAAAATTCACTGTTTATTATTTGAAGCCACACATTAAAGATATTTGTGAAAATATAAAATGTCACTCTTTACCTTTTGCTTTTGAAAGTATTTTTATAAAGAATACATCATTTATGTTAAAATTTGGTGCATTATTTTCAAATAGCAGTTTCTCACTTCTCATATGCTAAGTGTCAATACACATAATTCCATAAAAATTTTTTGGGGCCTTTGAGAAAAATTTTAAAGCATATGCATGTAACTACCACTACAATCAAAATATAGAGCAGTTTCACCCCTCAGTGCTTCCCCCTCCCAGTTTCACCTCCCAGATTCCCTCTTTTTTTTTTTTTTGGGCAGCCTTCCCCCAGTGTCTGGCAAGCTTTCTTCTGTTTACTAAATCTTAGGTGTATACTAGGGTTCTGAAAACTAAAAAAAATTGACAACCACTCAGTTGATTGAATGCTAATTTTTTTTTTTTACTGTATTAGATGTGGTGTAATAAATATTTTATATTCCAGGGTCAGTACTTGTGAAACTTGTAAAACAGAAAATAGTGATAAAATCTAGAGAAAAAGGTGTATCTGTTTACACTGTTACCAGAAGTGTTAGCCTTTCTGTCCCCTCCACCGTATTGACTATAATCAGTTTTAAATATCTTGTCTTTCTATCTGAATCTGTGAAACGCAAAACAGTGGGTAACGGAAGACTACTGGAGTAGTGATAGCTGGTACATATATTAGAGTAATCCAAAAATATTTAGTAAATGTTTTCCATTATCTTATCCAGGACCTTTTCTTTGTATAGATCCCTGTGTTGTAGCGAATGCCACTTTTCTTCGCCCCATGATACTGTACGTTCAGGTTTCTACCTGTTGGTAAAGGAGTTTTGCTAATTTATAGTTTTTTAGAAGTGTTCATTTCAATTACATATGAACATTTGTTAGACCAATTTCCTTTTAATTAAAAACCTCTAACTAAAATTATTTTCTTTCCCTGCCTAAAGTTATGTTATTTTCATTCCCCCTCACCATCCTTTCTCAGATTTGTTGATAGTGGTATTTTTTTGACTTTTACTGTGAATAGCTTTGGGTTGTCTCTCTGTTCCCTATTTTAGCATCAATTTTTGTCCTACTTTTACAAATTCTACTTGTTTCAGTTTGTTATTACTTTTGTAATTTTTCCTTAGATAATCACAAACATATGGAAAGATTGTCAGAATAAGTCAAAAAACTCCTATAAACTTTAGCCAAAGTTCTCAAAGTGTGGCCCAGGAACCCCTAGGGTTCCTGACACTTCCAGCTCAAAATTATTTTCATAATAATATGCTTTATTTGCCCTGCTTTATTTTCCACTTCTATTGTGATCTAATGGATACATTTCTATATATTTAAAACATGCAGTGTTATGATGTGTGTGTGTAATGGAATAAAGATCAGAATGAAATTAACTAGAGCATTCACCACTGCACATGTAACCTTTTTTGTTGTTGATATGACAACACTTAGCAAATACCAATATGCAATACTGTAGTCACTGCTCTACATTTAATACTCAGAATTTATTCACCTTATAAGTGAAAATTTGTATATGAGTATTTTCTCTCTGGATGTTTTCATTTATGGACATCATGTTTCCAGAACCACTTGAATATAAGTGAGGTATTTTGTCTAATTATTTCAGATTCTTGAGTGTATTAATTTTAAGAACCATGGTACAGTTGTCAAAATCAGGAAGTTTAACGTTAGCTAAGCCACAATTTACATTTAGATTTCATCAGTTATCTAAAAACATAAACATTCTCTCCCATGCCATTATGTATTCTAGCATATGCATTTCATTAAGTTTTTGGTGCCTTTGATGACATTTAATTTGCAACATTTCATTAATATTTGTTGTGTTCCTTGACATTGTATAACCCAGGGTTATTTTGTTTTGTTTTATCCCCCCCCCCCCCAGTAACATTCAGTTTAGGTATGTCTGATTTGATTAATTCAGTTGATAAATTTTTGGTAAAAATATCGCAGACATGAAGCTGCATTTTTAGTGCATATAGCAATTCCTGTGATACTTGTTTAAGGTGAAGTTTGCAATTTCTCCACTCTGCAAGTATACTTTTCCTTTATAATTAATATGTAACTTGTTAGTAGACATTTTGAAATGATGTAATTCTTTCCCTTATCATCCTTTCACCTCTTGGTTTATTTTGTTATTGTTTTTAACTTGTCTTCTTGAAAGCTTAGTTTATTTTTTTTTCACTTTGTTATCTTCTGAAGTACTGAAGGGTATACTTTTTTGAGGTATCATTTTGACATATTGAGTGGGAGTATGTATAGTAGAGTTAGGAATGAAAGAAGACAGTAGCTAATAAGCTACTACTAGAAAACTAGCAATAGGGCCTCACAGGGTTTTTTTTTTTTTTAATGTTTATAGAGGCAAGGTTGGTTCCCACACTGTATATTTTAGGGATCTAGGCTCACATACAGCAGATGTTTGTTATCACACAGGTCTCCTACCCCCAAAACACCAGTCACCCTCCTCTATCCACTGTGCACCCTATTCCCTTTTGCCCCCACTTTGTAACCTTACTTCTGTAGGCAGATTTCAGGAGTTTGTTTTGGTTCCTTTGCTTTATTTCATTCTGTTCCATACATGAGTGAAGTAATGAGATATTTGTCTTTTTTCTTCTGAGTCCACTTAGCATTATCTCCTCCAGTTCTAGCCATGTTGTTGCATATGGCAGGATTTTACCATTTTTTAATAGATGATTAATTTGCCACTGTGTGTGTGTATATCAATACTACATCTTAATTCACTGATCTGTCCTTGTACACTTAGGTAATTTCCATAGCTTGGCTATTGTAATAGTGCTGCGGTGAAGGTAGGGGTGCTTATCTCCCTTCAATTTAGTGCGTTTGTATTCTTTGGTAGGTACCTAAGAGAGGGGTTGCTGGATCAGGTGGTAGATCTATTTATAATGTTTTGAGAAACCTGAACGGAGTATTTTAAAGGTGCTCCAAATTACTCATGTATTAAAATTAACTCAGTCTTGCCTTAAAGACTAAAAGATTAGGTTTATGATAATCACACTTGTCACATCTATGATTAATGTTAAGTTCTTGATAAGTAAGAGGTGTTTTTCTGTAGTGTCACTAGTATCTTGGGACTTTTTTAATATACTACTTTCTCAGACCACATTTTTACTTTACCATTTTAGGAGCAACAGCTGTGGCGTGGAGGAATCCTTTATCAAGCTGGTTTACTGCTATGCTCCACTGCTTTGGTGGAGGAATATTATCCTGTGTACTGCTTGCAGAACCTCCATTGAGGTTTCTTGCAAGCAACACTAATATATTATTGGCATCTTCAATCTGGTAAGCTGTTGTTATGTTGAACTATGTAACACACACAAAAAATGTTGCATACAATGTTTTGTAAGTTACTACTAAATGGAATTTTTTTCATTAAAAAAAGAGTTTAGATTAATTTACATGCAAGGAAAGGAACCTATGTAATCCAGAGGTTTTAAGTGCAAAGTATGTCTCCTTACTCTTCTCCCTTCGCTCCTCAGAGGCAAAGATTGTCACCCTTGTCTTATATATCTTTGGTAGAAAAATTTCAAATATGAAAGAGTATCAAATATTTGTGTACCTAATCCCCCTGCAACCTACACACCAGGATAAAATCAAGAATGTGTTTTTTTTTTTTTTAAGATTTATTTATTTGTGCATACAGAACTGGAGTACAGGCCAGAGGCTCAGGGGCAGTGAGAGGCCTCACCAGAGACAGAGTGGGGAGCAGAACAGGCAGATCAACGAATACACTGCTGAGGGGAGCAGCCGGTGGGTCAGGAGAGGTCTGCCACGCCATGTGGTCACCTCCAGGGCAGGCAGGAATTGAACTCATGCGGAAGCAGCTTCAGGTTCTCAGCACTGTGCTTCAACCTGCTGCGCCACCAGGGAGGGCCTCAAGAATGTATTTTAACTACACAAATATGTCCAGATTATTTTTTCATACTTAGTAATGTTCCTTGTTATAGTCTTTGTTGGATTTTTTAGAGCCTATGAGATGTAACATTAATTGATATTGAATTTAATTTTGAAGTGAAGAAAAATAATGTAGAAGTTGCTTTGGATTTTTGTAATTCAAAATTCAATTATCTCTAAAAGGATTGATATATCAAGTTAAAAAAATAATGATACAAATCAGAAAGCTACATCTACAACAAAGCTATACTTTGAGTAAACGCCTTATGAATTAAATATAGAGCTGTTAGGAATACTTGAAGTTCATTGTAATTATAACTTGTCATAAAGGGGAATATTATAAATAACAGTTGCAATTGGAGAAAGTAATATGGTAGTATATAACAGTGGAAATAGGAGGAGTAGACTAATAAATTTCATAGCTAATACTTATTGAATAATGATTATATGTCATTTAAACTCTTTATATTCACTTTTATATTTAACCTGAAAAGACCCGCGTGGTAGCTATGAGAAAATCAGGGCATTGAGGAACTTTGCTAACATTTTCATATTTGGTAAATGATTAATCTAGAATCAAAATTAGAGGTTTGACTTTAGAGCCTTGATGGTTAACAGGCATTATCTCTCAGTTTAAGAATAATGGCTAGACCAGAAAGGGAAGAAAGAAGGGAACAGAGAACTTAGTCAAAGAAATAATAAAGGAAGACTTCCAAACCTGGAGAAGGAACTAAATATACACATCCATGAAGTTAAAAGAACATTGGTTACCTAAATTTAATGAGACTTACAGCAGGACTCATGGTGGTGATACTCGCAAGAGTTCAAGACAAAGAAAGAATATTGAGGGCCCTCCCTGGTGGTGCAGTGGGTTAAAGTGCAGCATATGAAGCTATTCTTAGCCACTGCAGCATGAGTTTGATCCCTGACCAGGTTGCTGACCCACATGGCGCAGCAGACCTCTACTGACTGGCCTGCTGCTCCCCTCAGCAGTGTATTTCACTAGATCTGCCTGTTTTGCTCCCCACTCTGTCTCTGTTGAGCCCTCTCACCCCTTTGCCTCCCACAACTCTGGCCTGTACCCCAGTTCTTGTATGCATAAATCTTCAAAAAAGAAAGAAAGAATATTGAAACTGGCCAGGGTGAAGAAGCAAATAGCCTATAAAGATAGGCCTATCTAGCTTACACCTGACTTCTCTAAAGAGACATTACAGGCAAGGAGAAATGGAATGATATATCCAAAATATTCAAAGATAAGAATTGCTAGCCAATAATACGGTATCCTGCAAGACTCTTGTTCACATTTGAGGTAGAAATAAAGGTCTTCTCAAACAAGGCTGAGTTTTCAAGGATTATGTTTATAATCCATCCATCCAAGATATGTTGAAAGGAATTCTTACATCTAAATTTAAAACTGAACAAGGAAGTATGTAGAACTAGAAAACTAAGGATAAAATGGCAATAGCAGATACTCATAGAAATAACTACTGTAAATATAAATGGTCTAAACTCACCCATCAAAAGGGACAGAGTGATTGGTTGTATTGGAAAACAAAGTACAACTTTCTGCTGTCTTTAGGAACTATATCTGAGCTCCAAAGATAAACATAGGCTCAAAGTAAAGGATTGAAAAAAATATCCCTCAAGTAAATGGGACCCAAGAATGGTAGGGACAGCCTCACTTAGATAAAACAGATTTCCAGCTAAAAAGGTAATGAGACGGGATGTACACTATATAATGATTAAGGGAATACTCCACCAGGAAAATGCACACTCATCGGTGTGTATTCTCCAAACAAAGCAACAAAAATCAATTGCTTCATTAGGAACATCAGGGAGTGACTATACTGCTGCATCATAAATAGTGCTGTAAGTCAATGTCCCATCAATAAAAAAATAATTAAAAAAGAAATAGAGCTTTGCCATTTAGCTAAGAAATGCCTACTCTGTGTCCCATACCATACACAACCACCTTCCTGTTTTAAGTAATCATTACAGTAACACCATGATCCTGACTTTTAAGATAATCACCTTTCTTGCTTATTTGTATAATTTTGTTATTCAAATATTCATCCAAAGACACTATAGATTAGTCATAACCATTATAAAATCTGAAGTCTCTTTTAAAAGAGTCTCTTATTTTATAGATTCCCTTCCCTTCCATTCCTTTATTTCCCCTTCAAATTTTTCTTGATGGACCTGAGCCATGAGACTTTTCCATAATCTGGAGTTTGTTGATTGCATACCATTGTATATGGTATGGATCATTATTTACCTCTGTTGTCTGTGTTTCTTGAAAATTGGCATATTGGCTCAGAATATACTGGGATTTAGCATGATCTTCTGTTTATTGACTACACTAATTAGTTAGGAATTTAGGAATTGTGCAGTGGTCACAGTCAATGTCTTTTACTTTGTATTAGTTGTAATACTATTACAGATACTTTCAACTAACCATCCATTATTTGATTATTCATTTACACAGTTCATAGAGGAATTGGTTCTCTGCCATACTCCAGAGGTGACTAGGTTTTTTGTTTTTTTTTTTAAAGATTTATTTATTCATACAGAACTGGGGTACAGGCCAGAGGCTCAGGGGCGGTGAGAGGCTTCACCAGAGACAGAGCGGGGAACAGAACAGGCAGATTGACAAAGTACACTGCTGAGGGGAGCAGCGGGCGGGTCAGGAGAGGTCTGCCACGCCATGTGGTCACCTCTGGGGCAGGTGGGAATCGAACTCATGCGAAGGTGGCTTTAGCTTCTCAGTGCTGTGCTTTTACCCTCTGCGCCACCAGGGAGGGCCCAGGTGATTAGGTTTTTAAACAATAATTAAGTCAGTGATTTTAGTTTATTTCATTTAATTGTTTAAATTTGTATCTTTTATATCATTGTGTATGCCTCATAAAATTCCACACCCAGTTTACCCCTGAGCCATCATAGTCCTTTGTGCTCTTTCTCTCCTGTCTTCATCCCTTTCCTCCCCCGCCCTCAAAGAATGCCTCTTATTTATGGTTGCCTGCTAGTTTTGTTGTATTATTATTATTGTTGTTGTTATATTTTTTCCTTGACATCTTATTTGTCTCCTCCTCTATATTGCTCCTATAAGTGAAACCATTTGATATTTTTCTTTTTCCTTGTGACTTATTTCACTGAGCATGACTCATCCTAGCTCTGTCCATGTTGCTGTGAGTGGAATGAGTTTATCTTTTTTGATTGCTGAATAGTGTTCTTGAAGCTCAGATTGTGCCATCTTTTGCTGGTGGCAGCATCTTCAGATTGACTTTTGAGACTTTGATGAGTTTCCTTGTTACTTTTTCTTGCTGCTCATATTATACTTTTCTGAAATCACTCTACTCTAAGACACTGATTTCTTTTAGTGAGAAATGGTATTTCAAGACAACAATCTGAGCACTAGAGATATTCATTATTATGGGATTGATTTTTGTTTCTAGGCATTTCATTGGACAGAGGCATTTTCTGTAGGGAAAGTCAGACTAAAATAACTCCTGAATTCATATTGATATTTCTAACACAAAAATTAAGATTAGAGAGCTTTTAACATTTCTCAGTTATATCTGTAGCTCCTTCCACTTTAAGAATTTTTTTTTTTTAAGATTTATTTATTTGTGCATACAGAACTGGGGTACAGGCCAGAGGCTCACGGGTGGTGAGAGGCTTCACCAGAGACAGAGTGGGGAGCAGAACAGGCAGATCAACTGCTGAGGGCAGCAGCGGGCGGGTCAGGAGAGGTCTGCCTCGCCATGTGGTCACCTCTAGGGCAGGCGGGGATCGAATTCATACGGAAGTGGCTTTAGCTTCTTAGTGCTGTGCCTTAACCCACTGCCACCAGGGAGGGCCCAAAAATTTGGTTTTTAACAACACAAGGCAATATTACTCATTAATTTTGTTCTGTATCATACATACAGTATATAATAGTTCTGGAGTAACAGTGCTATGCAATTACTAACATGATTTTTAAAAACATTTTTTGGCTTATGTACTTTTCATTTTCTTTCCATTTTAAAAATAGACTTAGTAACCTATAAAATCATGGTTAAAGATATTACATACTATACTATTCTGTCCTTAGTCCTTCTTCAGTCCTTGTTTTACAACAAGCTGTATATTTAGAGCTTATCAACGGTCCTTTTAAATGTTTCTCTGCAGTTACTTTGTTTAAAGCTTTTTCTGTGGCAGTCAATATGAAGTAGTTCCTTAATTCTTACATGTTGTTAAGTTTTTATCCTTTGTTCTTGAAAGCAGTATTTAGTGGGCATAAAGTCATTGGATTGCATTATCATTGAGCATTTTAAATGTGATACTCCATTTTCTTGTGTCATAATACCTTGGTGTTTTGCTTGCAGCTTTAGTACTTTATCAGTGTTTATAATCCACTGTACTAATATTTTCTTCTGCTGATGAGCACTTAACTGGTTTAGTTGTTTTGGGGGTTTTATAGGATAACAACGCTTGCGGCCACTGACTGGATATTTAATGTGTTCCCAGATACTTGCGTTTAGTATATTACCTTTATTATTTCATTTAAACTTAACAAGAACCCTGTGAGGTAGGTGCTACTTTATTTTCATTTAACAGATGATGTTCTAAGACAAGAAGGGTTAAGTTATTTGACGAGGACATGCCAAACATCGGGTAGTTGGGGCCAGGATTCAGACCTGGTCTAGCTGGTCCACTAGTCCATATTTTTACAGAATGTTGTTTTGGACTCTGGAAATACAAACATTTTTTAGTCCTCACAGACATATTTTAAATATTTTAAAATATGGTCCTTATTAAAGATAGATAGAGTTTATGTTGCTAGTTGTTTTTTTTTTTTTTTAAGAATTTATTTACTTATGCATCCAGAACTGGGGTACAGGCCAGAGGTGTGGTGGGTGAGAAGATTCACCAGAGAGAGAGTGGGGAGCAGAACAGGCAGATCAACGAAGTACACTGCTGAGGGGAGCAGTGGGCGCGACAGGAGAGTTCTGCTGCTCATTGTGGATCACCTCAGGGACCAGGGATCGAACTGGCACTGAAGCAACTGCAGCTGCAGTTAGCTTGCAGTGCTGTATTGTAACTTGTTGGCGCCACAAGGGAGGGCCTATTTTGCTAGTGTTTTAAAAAAGATTTTAATGCTGGAGAACGAATTTGTTATTTTTGTCTCATTTGATTTTGAGAGCTAACGTGATGTTTGGCGTGTACTTGAAATTCTAGCAAGCTAAACCAAAGGATTTAGTAAATGCACTTAATAGGAAAGGTCATCTTTAGGACAGGTACTCATAGTGCTCACGTCTGGAGACTAGCACCATCTACTGGCAAAGGAAAGAAGAATGGTGTGTTAATGTACTACAGTGTTTAGAAGACCATATACATTTTCTTTTTCATAACTCTTTGGGGGAAATAAGTATTTTGTCCCTCTCAACTTACCTTTTTTGTACCCCAGTTTGTCTTTCTTTATTTTTCTAAGTATCAGTTATTATGTATTACACATTTGCATAGCTGAGGCTACATTTTTATAAGATTTTTAAAAAGGTGTAACTTCATAGGTATGTAATTTTACACTTGTCTTTTTCAAAGCATATATAGTTATTTGTTAGAGTTATAAGAGCAATAATAAAGATGTCATAATGCATTAGAATGAAGTGTAATTAATTTATCATTCTAACTGGGCTTAGTTAATACTGTCTTTGGTAGTGAGAGGAATGGAACTAATAGAGTGAAAACAACTCTCTGTTTCTATACTTATCTCTTGGTATTAAGCTAAGTCCTACTTTTATCTTTTCTCTTTAAAAATGTTTTTTTTTATTGATGTAAAATGTCATTGTAATATTAGGTAAGTTTCAGGTGTGCATCATTGTAAATCAAACCTGTATATAGTTTTAAGTTGACCACTAAAAGTTCAGTTTTACCTTTCACCATACAGTTGTCCCTTTGACCTGATTTACTCGCCTGATTTAGCTTTCGTTTGTTAGTAGCCTAGCATCTTGTCTGTATGCTATTTTAACTAACTGTATTTATTAATACTGTTTGTTGTCATTTTTTCCTTTCTCCACTAACCTAACCTGTGTGACTTAACAACTGCATCAAACAGTTACCTTCTCAAACCAGTTTTTGTCCAATAAGTTCTATTTCTTTTTTTTCAATATGCTTTCTATAGGCATTTTACAAGGTAAAGCTTCCTTAATGTGATAATTTTAGTTAAAGGGAAATTATAGTTTCTATAGAAGGTGGGACATGATGATTGCTTAATGAGTACTGGTTGAGTAGCTAACTAAAGGAATTTTATAAAGCTTAATTATAGGCAGGAATGGTTGTTTCAGTAGCCACCAGCCTGTCTGATATGTTTACTTGTAAGTCTACTAAGTACAGTAACTAATTGTTCTTTTGCCCTGTGGCTGTCTTAACATTAAAAATGAGAACAGTTTTCTGCTCAATAAATTAACTTGTTATAGTACTATTTTAGAAATATCTGATTAAATAGAATATTTATAAAAATAGTATAATTACAAGTTTTAGATCATAAATCAGCGTTACATAGTGGAACATAAAGGTCTGAGATTGCACTTGTATTAGTATAGGTTTTTTCAGTCACGTTAAACACAGTTTTGCTATAGAAAATGAAAATGGTTTCATTTGTATTCTTTTTGTTTTGTTTTGTTTTGAGTAATTTACTTTTGAGCTTAACTCCTTTTAAAGTGAAATCAAATCCTCTTTCCTTTATCAAATCTACAACAGTTATCAAAATAATTTTATCTAAGAATGTGTTTTAAATTAGTTTATTGGAGCTTAACTCTTTGACCCAATTACCCAGCCAACTTCCTGGGAATTGTTTTATGTTTAAAAAGAGAAGTATATAGAAGTTTTAAAACTTATTTATGTGAATATGTGAAAATTTTAAGTCATGTCATTTTAAAATGCATTTTGCTTCTGAACTCATAATTTTTCTTTCTTTCTTTTTTTTTACTTAGCAACTGATTCTTTTGATTTGTGTATCTTGTATTTTGCTCCTGGAAATAAATTATTTATTTTAGTACTAGTTCTCATAATACCAAATTTTAGGTGATGGGGATAGTAAGATGTGCAATTTCTGTCATCTAAGCATTAAGTCTTTTATATATATTATGAAGAAAAGTATATAAAAAGCTGTGTTGAAGTATAGGGACCAGTTGTTTTAGTTACACAGAGCCATCATCAATACTTAAGCTAACCTGAGAATATTAAATAAAACAAAGCATGCAAAATCAGTACATATGGTATATTTGGTGGGATCCCGAAGGTTAGGAAGGAATCAGTAATTAGAGATGAAGAAGAAAGGGTATTTCAGATCGAACAAACTGTTGAACCTACTATTGGATTTCTGAAGCATTATTTTGGCAAATATATTCATCGTCCATACTTTTGGTAATACTTTTGGTAATCCTGACTTTATGAATTCTGAATTGCAGTTAGATGGACAACTTTTAGAAGAGTCCTAACATTTATTTTGTTCATTTCATATCACTCCATTAGAAGGAGGATGTATTCTGCTGTTAGTACAAAATCATCTGCCAGAGAGTATTTGAGGAATGGAGAGGAGAAAAAAGTAGTATGGCATTCCAGTGAACACTATTACTGAGATCAAGCTGTTCGAGCAGATGCTTAGAACAAAGGAAACTTCAAAACATAATTCACCAAAGGAACAGTGAATTATTCTTTAACCAATATCATAATTTAACTGGTTAAAACTTAAGTTTCATCAGCTACATTGAAGATTATAATTTAGATTCTTTCAACTATATGAAAATGCATTTCTAATTAATTCTGTTTCCATGAGAATTAGTGAAGATATTAGTGGGATTGAAATGCAATCCTTGCTTTATTATAACATTAACAGACAACCATGAACTAGAGACATCTGCAGAGAGGGGAGAGGAGGAGAGTCAACACAGAGGTAGGGAGAGCACAAGGAGCTATAGTGATAGTGCATGGGTGAGCTGGTGGTAGGAACTTCATGGGGACTATACCCAAGATGAAAAAGCTCACATTGTACAAAAATGAAAAATAATGTTAAAAAAATATATGTGTAATAATAAAAATTAAAAAAAAAAAGAAAAATGCAACCCTTGCATAGCTACTAAGAGTTCTCTCCGAATTCCTTTTCCAGAAGACAGAGACGTTCACTAGAAAAGTCCTTGTCCCAGAGTGATTATACAGATTCTTTATTTTGTTAGTAGATTCACCACTTAGCTTCTGGAACAGTATGGACACAAATTTGGAAAGCAGTAAATAATTCTTGCATGCATAGAGTACTCAGCAGTCCAACTAAGGTGAAATTTCCCTCTGATCATGACATTTTGGCAGATTATTTTGTGTGCTTCACACGATCTTAAAAATTGACTGTCCAATCTGTGTGGTTTTCTTAAAGTTAAATTTCGCTTTAACATGGGTAACTATTTGTTGTGTTTTCTAAATTGTTATTGGATTTTTATGTCTGTTACTCTGATTTCATTTATATATTAAAATATTTAAATTTTAATTTCAGGTATATTACGTTTTTTTGCCCATGTGACCTAGTTTCCCAGGCCTATTCTTTCCTACCTGTTCAACTGCTGGCTGCAGGAATGAAGGAAGTGACCAGAACTTGGAAAATAGTAGGTGGAGTCACACATGCTAATAGCTATTACAAAAATGGCTGGATAGTCATGATAGCTGTTGGATGGGCCCGAGGTAATATTAACAATATGTATTCATAAATATTCTGTAATTGGTGTACTGCAGCTATCAAACAATTTTCTATATTAATGATGAATACATTACTTAATAATAGCCTTTTTGGAAGAAGAAACCTTGTTTCTGTTGGCTAATCAAGTTATTTAAGAATTACATGTTTTACCACTATTAGTCATCAACTGTTATATATATATATGTATATATATATATATATAATAATATAAAATTTTTATAATTAGTTTTGACAGCAGCCAAGGGATTCAAGTTAAGGTATAGTGTCACAATAAATAAAACAAGTTTATATTAGGAAATTTGTGTGCATGTCAATAACAAGTTTACATTAAAATCTTGTGATACACTTTTTCTTGGGGGGTCTGTGAGTGTTTTCATCCTGAATAGCCAGAAATAGTAAATATCAATGATAATAGGTTCATGTTCATTTGCATCACTTACTTTGTTACTGAGTTTGTTTATATACAGATTGAACAAGCTTCTCTAATCTCTTGTTATAGTGCACACAAAACTAATACCAGGCAAGGAAATGATAAAGCAGGGGATTGTATTTTTCAGATCTGAAACAAACCACTAGGCACAATTCTGTGCCGAGGCCCCAGTTTTAATGTTATTTAGTGTACTATCAGTGTGTCATCACCAGTTGGCTAGAGGGAAGTATCACAGTTGCCTCAGTACCATAAAATACACAGGCAACTTTTTCCTTCCTTCTAAGGAATGTATTTTCCACTCCCTCTTGGTGATAGAATTATGAAACAGAATATATTTGTTTCAGATATATTGTCTAGAAAATTTGGCTAAATATTCTTGTTTTATTATTTTACTTGTAGGTGCAGGTGGTAGTATCATCACGAATTTTGAGCGCTTGGTAAAAGGAGGTTGGAAACCAGAAGCTGATGAATGGCTAAAGATGTCCTAGTGAGTTGGTATAAATTATACTGACTTTTTATTCTTAGATCTTACCAAATTTTGTTCAAAGAGAATTTTGGGGACACTAAATGTAGATGGAATACAGCTGACCTAATAAATGGTAAGGATATAGGGATAGGACAGGAAACTTGTTTTTCAAAAAGTTTGCTCTTTGTAATTTTAGAAATAAATATTGATACTCCCTCTCAAAAAATTAAACCCAACAAATAGTTCTGAATTGTTATAGAATTTGGGATGAATGGTATCTACAGAGAGAGAACCACATAGGCGCTGACTTCTGTGAATGGAAAGGAATCAGTTGCAGGCTCTTGGCATGTTCATGGATGACTGCTGTATTTCAAATTATGTATAGTTCTGGTAATAGAATGCTAAGCTATGGAAACAAAGTAATACATTATTGGAAAGGTCAGCTTAGTTGCTTTAAAAATGAGAGCTGAACTTAGTTGTATATAAAATAAGAAAAAGATTAGGGGAAATAATCTTTTCTCTTGTTACCCAATTCAAAGTACCTGTTGCATCCGTTTGAAGAATTTAAATACAACCTCATCTTTGTAATTAATTTTATTGACTTTACTGAATTTAGACTTTCTCCAATGTCCTTTCCCAGTATATTGTTTACAAAGTCCTTGTTTCTTAGTTTGATGGATCTAAATTTATGTTCTAAGAGAATATATTCCAAAAAAGGCTGCTCATAGTAAGGTACTATGGTCCAGAAACTAAGGGATCAGAAAAAAACAGTAAACCTTAAGACCAACCTAATTCTGTTTGTTTTTTTCATCTGATCCTTTTAGGGTGTCACTTTATTATACATTTTATATATTTTACATGCATATAATTAATTAATTAATTGAGAGAATACCTTAGGGAGTTTACAAATGGGGCTATGCAGTCAAAAGCTTAGCGACTCCTATGCCAAAACATGAATGCTGTCCAGTTACGTTGCTAAGCAAGACCTAAACCTTTATTGCCAAACAGCTCCTATTTTCAGTTCTTAACATGCAGTAATTAAATAACTTACTTTTCATAAGGCCCTTAGATGGCCTTTTAAATTTATCATTTTGCATTGTAGCATTCTAAAGGTTTATCATTTATTTAGTTTTAAGCATAGCAAGCTCAGACAATGATCTGTTGTTGAGATAGGCTTTAAATATCTGGTAAATATGTCATATAAAAGTAATGTTTTTGATAGCTTAGTGTCTTATTATAGACTTTTAGTTATCAGCAATAACTTATTGAGATATTATGTGAATATTTTGTGGTAGTGTTAGCTCAGTAATATACTAGAGCTGGGTCCTACTGTTTTAAGGGTAATTGGATGTATCTCTTTTCCACTCCATGTAGGAGCTTGAAATGTCATGATGGGGGTACATTAGACCCTTAAACAATGACAAGTTAGGGGTGCTTACTGACCCCCTCTACCTAGTCAAAAATCAGTGTATAATTTTACTCCTGAGAAACAACTAAGTAACTTAATGTTGACCAGAGTCTTATTGATAACATTAACACATACTGTGTATGTTATTACATACTGTATTCTTACACTAAAGTAAGCCAGAGAAAAGAAAATATTGTTAACAAATCTTAAAGAAAATACGCTTACAGTACTGTGCTGTGTTTACTGAAGCTAAGTGGACATCATCTGTTTATAAGAAAATCCCTGTATAAGAGGAACTCTGAAATCCAGACTGTGTTGTTCAAGGGTCAGTATATTTATACCATGAAAATGAGAAAGTGCTACAAATCAGGGCTTTCTTGTCTTTTCCCACCTCATTCAATTATGCTGTGAAGCAAGGTGTTTACTTTTATATATTTAGAATTTCTGAAACTATATAGAGCTCATTTTGACTATTGGTAATTTACTAACAATATTTTGTGGCATATTCTTCTGGGTATACAGAGAGATGTCTATTATTTACTGACTTAAAATGTGCTTTCTTTTTAGTCCTGCCAAGATAACCTTGCTGGGGTCAATTATCTTCACATTCCAGCAGACCAAACATCTGTCAGTAGCAAAGCATAATCTTATGTTCTTTTATACTGTGTTTCTTGTGGCCACAAAGGTAAGCGCTCAAAGAAGCTATAACACAACAATGATACTAATTCATATAACCAGAATTTTGCATACTAGGCATGTTAACATGAACATTTATATATTTTTAAAAAGATTATTTATTTATGCATACAGAACTGGGGTACAGGCCAGAGGTGCAGGGGCCATGAGAGGCTTCACCAGAGATAGAGTGGGGAGCAGAACAGGCTGACTGAAGTGTACAGTGCTGAGGGGATCAGCGCGTGGGTCAGGAGAGATCTGCCGCATCATGTAGTCACCTCTGGGGCCAGTGATTGAACTCACACTGAAGTGGCTGCGGCTCTTAGTCTGCACTTTAACCCATTGCACCACCAGGGAGGGCCTAACAGGATTCTTAAAAGGAAAAGAGTATATATTATATAAATACAGCTCTTGTAAAGAACCAAGTCGCTATTGGGATCATTTATTTTTGCTACAGTATTCTCTCAGTAGGGGTCATCTGTACTCTCTCAGTAGGGGTCATCTGTGGCTATCGTTCAAGTTCTTTAAGTATCCAAGGCAGAGTCCACTATTCCTAACCCTCAAATTTTGAGCTGTATATATGTTTTGGTGATATTTCGTATAAATGGAATCATACATTGTGTGGCTTTCTGACTGGTTTTCTTTTTCAGCGTCTTTTGACCTCATGTTGTAGTATTTATCTGTACTTCAGTCCTTTTTATTGTCAAATAATATGCTACGGTATACATATAGCACATGATGGATATTCATGTTGTTTTACTTTTTGGGTAATATGAGTAATGAACTATGCATTCACGTACAGTGTATGTGTGCATGTGCATGTGCGTGTGTGGATATGTTTCTTTTTTCTTGACTCTCTCATATAGGATTAGAATTTCTAGAACACACACTGTCATTCTATGTTTAACTTTTTCCAGAGTGGCTTTATTATCTTATGTTCTGTACACGCAATATATGAGAGTTCTAATTTTACCACATCATCGCCAATATTTGTCTTTTTTATTAGAGCCATCTTTGTTGCTGTGAAATGGCACCTCATTGTGAATTTGTTTTAGTTTTCCCTGATGACTAATGACATTGGGCAGTTTTCATGTGCTTTGTTTGCTATTTGTATAGCTCCTCTTGAAAATATCTCTTCAGAAAATTTGCCTGTTTTTAATTATATCATTTGTCTTTTTAATGTTGATTTATAAATTCTTTATGTATTCTGGACACTAAACCTTTATTAAATATCTGATTTGTGAATGGCTTCTCCTATTTTATGTGTTATCATTTCATTTTCTTGATAGTATCTTTGGGAGCATAAAATTTTGAACTTTTGATAAAGTCCATTTTATCTGTTTTCTCCACTGTAAATACTTTTGGTGTCATCTCTTAAGAAACCATTGCCAAACCCAAGGTAAAAAAGATTCCCTTCTGTTTTCTTTGAAGAGTTTTATGCTCTTATTCTTACTTAGCTCTGTGATCTATTAATATTTTGAGTTAATTTTTTGTGGTATGAGGAATGATCTAACTTCATTCTTTTATATAAGGATATCTAGTTGTCCCTTTTTTTTATTAATTGAAAAGGTTGTTCTTTTACTCATTATGAACTGAGTTGGCATCTGCTATAAAATCACTTGACTGTAAACGTGAGGGCTTATTTGTAGATTCATACTCCATTCTTCTTATATCTACTTTTATGCTAGTATCAGAGTGTTAATTACTATAGGTTTGTAGTTTGATTTGAAATCAAGAGAAATGTGAGCCTCTAAGTTTGTTCTTCTTTCTAAGGATTATTTGATCATTGGGTTATTGAATGCCCATCTGAGTTTTAGCTTTAATTTAACAATTCTTACAAAACGACCAGCCACACTTTCATAGGAATTGCCTTGAATCTACCAGTCAGTATTATTATCATCTTAGCAATATTAACTCTTTCAATCCTTTTGATATAGGTGTCTTTTCATTCATTTAGATCTTTTTAAAGTTCTTTCCAACTATGTTTCACTCTTTACATCTTGGAATTCTTTTGCTATATTTATTTCTCTTTTATTGTTTTTGGTTCAATAGTAATGGAATTTTAAAAATTCATTTCTAGGCTGTACATTGCAAATATATTGTATAATCTATTTCCAGTTGTGTTTGACTGGCAGGAGGTTGTGCTTCAGGTTTATTTTTTTTTCATAGAAATATGGAGTTTCTGTATTATATGCTGAGAAGACTGTCCTTTCCTTCATTGGTTTACCTTGACACTGTTGCTCAAAATCAGTTGTCTATTTCTGTACTATATTCTGTTTCATTGATTTGTATGTGTATCATTAGCCAATACCAAGCTATATGATAACTATTATCAATAGTAAGTCTTCAAATCAAGATTTCTTTGACTCTTCTAAGTCTTTTACATTTCCATATAAATATTATGACTGGGGTATCATTTTCTTCCCAAAAATGACTTTTGGGACTGTGATTACAAATGTATTGTAATCATAGATTCATTTAGGAAAAAAGTACTTTAAACATACTTAGTCTACCATGGCCCTCCCTGGTGGTGCATTGGGTTAGGACACAGCACTGCAAGCTAGCCATGCAGCCGCTACAGTGCAAGTTCAATGCCCACCATGTGACCCACATAGTGCGACAGACCTCTCCTGACCTGCCTGCTGCTCCCCTTAGCAGTGTACTTCGTTGATCTGCCTGTTCTGCCTCAACTCTGTCTCTGGTGAAGCCTCTCACTGTCCCCACACCTCTGGGTTGTACTCCAGTTCTGTATGAGTATAAATAAATAAATCTTTAAAAAAAAACAACTTAGTCTACTAATCCATGAAATATGATATCTCTTTCCACTTACTAGGACTTAAATTTTTCACAGTCATATTTTGTGAGTTTCCTTATTTTACATATATCTTTGTGAAATTTATTTTTTTAAAGATATATTTAATTTATTTATGCATACAAGAACATAGAGAACAGACTGGTCATTGCCAAGAAGGGTGTAGGTGGGTAAATTGTAAAAGGACGTCAAAAGGTAAAAGTTTCCAGTTATAAAATAAGTCATGGGGAAGAAATGTGCAGTTAGTGACTGTAGTTAGTAATATTCCATTGCATATTTGAAAGTTGCTATGGAGTAGATCCCAAAAATTCTCACTATAGGGAAAAAGTAATTTTTGACTACATGGTAATGTTAATTAGACTTACTGTAGTGATCATTTTGAGTATACACAAATACTGAATCATTCTCTTGTACATGTGTAACTAATGTAATATTAAATATCATTTGTATCAATAAAAATTCACTTTAACTCTTTTTATTTACTTTCTTAGTTTTGAGAAGCAGAAAACACATATATTTAAATTAAAAATTGAACTTTTCCTGCAGATATCCATGATGGTTACCAAGAGTTCTACTACATTTTTTGCTCCTTTTGAGGATGCTCTGAGTCGGATGCTGTTTGGCAGGCAGCAACAGTTTACATCATGTGAAAAGAAAAGTGAAACTAAATCGTCTTTCAATGGTACTGGTTCATCAACTTCAAAAGCTGTAGCCGATTCCTCAGATAAGGTTAAAAAGAAACACACTAAGAAGAATGAGTAAATTTATTTGATGAACTCAGGATGGCATTTTTTTTTCTACCTGTCAGATTGTGATAATTATTTCTATGTAAATGATGTGAAATAAAGATTATCTATAAGGAATGGAGATGACAAAAAGAAAGAACTTCTTTCTGTTTCAGGGACTATCCCTTCTGGATTGTAATTTGAATGTTAGGAGGTATCATGTGAAATTGTTTCTTTAACTTATATATAAAAGATTCTATTGTGATTATTTTTATAGTTTTATATTGATAAAATATATCTAGAGGCTGGATATTTTTAATGTTTCAGAAACTATTGTCATTGCAAAATTACAAAAATTAAAGGCTTTTTGTTTTACTTAGGTATTTTCATATTTTTAAATTTAAATCTATTTAAAATTTAGTTTTGGTCAGGAAAATTACACTTTTATGTATCATTACCGTTATTATTCCTCAACATGGAAAAGAATACTTGTTTAATTTAGAGCTTTGGGGAGAATAAACTTTACCTAAATCACTTTATATTATGAATGACAAGAAACTACTAGTGTATATATTTCAGATATGAACATTGTATTTTTTTGCCCATATTAAGTGGAAATATTTATAATTTAATTTTTTTCTAGCACTGTTTTTCTGTGAGAACAGAGACTCACAGATTGATTTTAGGTCTATTTCATGCCCTTGTTTATACAGTTTTTTTTTTTTTTTTTCAAAGAAAGCCAGAGGTGTCATTTTTACTAAATTGCTAAGCCCTTCATATGTGTTGTTAAAACTAGCTTTCTTTGAGGAGCTTTTCCCCCCTCATGCCTTAAAACACATTTGTTTTTAACTGTACAAAAAATTATTCTTCTTGATATTTCATATATTCTTAACTCTTTCTGATCCTAGTTGATGTGAGTACTTCAATGGTAGTGTCATAATGATTGATTAAACAATGCATTATTTCATTTAAAAAATACCTCTTTATGTCTCCTTTCTAATGGTACTTTCTAATTTTCTAGTTGAATATGTCATACTAGTTTGCATATGTTTATGTTATATTTTAACCTGTATGTACATATAGTATTAATTTATTTTAAATGAAAACTAATTACCCTTGTTTGAAAATGCTCAACTAATGTGAATTCTCTAGAAACTAAAATATATGGTATATATTTTGAAGAAAGAATAATGACATTAAGTCTGGTTCCTTACTGGCAAAAAAAAAAGAAGGTACTAAATAATTTTATATTCTATTGTTTTATTTTATATTTTAAAACTCCTGTTATAACTGTCAAATTCTATGACTAACATGATTTCTTCTACCAAGGCCATGAGGCTGCAGCCTGTAGTGAGTATGTTTAGATATTTTGGATGATTTAGAAGCTTTAAATCACATTCAAGTTTTGTTTTCTGCTTTTTAAAATTTAGCAGCTATAAACAACAGCAGAGTTTACTTTTTTACTTGTTACGTTTTTGGAGTTAGGGAAGTTTATTTTTAATGTGACAGAAAGCATTTAATATATATGAATCCTGTATTATATTTGTTACTCTTATAGTTAAAATCTTTCAAAATTAACATGTTACTAATTGACTTTATTTTTGAAGTTTGGGTTTAACTGTAGTTAAAGCAAGGAATCTTGTTTTATACTTGTATAAAGACAAATTTATTAAAATAAGTTATTTAGCACCAATGGAGTACTACATTATTTTTACTTTTTTTATATTTGCCTGATTCGGAGCTCAGAACGCTGGCATTTCACTATTACAGTATATTTAGTGATTACTGTCTTAAATGGAACATCAGTACAAACTTTTAATGCACATGTATCACGTGACACTCAGCTCAAGGTTCTTACATAAAAACTATACTGAATTACATGCTCAGACTTAAAACTCCCACCTTGAGTGTACACAGTCTGCCTACAAAGACTTGGCTGGATTTGTAAAGCGCATTTTAAAACTTACCCATCACATAGCATGAATGATGCCTCCAGTCCTCTTCACCCAGTCATCCTAGGTGGCAATGAGAAAGTGAAGGAAGTTAAAGGATGCAAGAAGTGTGCAATAACATGCGCTGGCTGCGCTCGATTTTCTCACTTCTGGTAAAATGTGACCAAATTAATATCAAACTGATTGAGCATATTAGTGGTTTCTTTCTGGAAAGATACCAGATATGTGGAGTGGGTACATTTCAGTGGAAATTGAAGCTCTCCTCTAAGCACAGAACAAAAAGTAGAGAAATGAGAAGAGGGGGGATGCTCCTTGTTAGTCCAATTTATCTATTACTTTAAGATTTGATACCATTCCATTAAAATCTATTTCAGATCACATGTTGATCGTATGTGGGAGGTAGAATAACGTTTTCAAGGGTATCCTTTCTCCCCTTTACTGCTGTCTTAAGAGATTTACATATCAGTGGAGAAGAGACATATGTAAACAAATAGGTTCTTGTGGTGAGGTAGTTTATAAATTTTAAGCAGGACACAAGGATTGAAAGTGAGGGGATTTTCAGGTTTTTGTTAAGATAGTGTTGTTAAAGAAGGCTTTATTGTTAAAATCGCATTTTACCAGAGATTAGAAGGATGTGAGGGAACAAGCTAGGTATTTATTTAATTATGTGTAAGGCTCATTCTGTTTTTCCATGTATCTGAATTAGATGATACATTTTTTTCCCCCAAAATTTGTTGAATTTATTTTTCTTAGTTCATCTTCACTTTTGTAGTTTTTAACAGATGTGTTTCTTTTATATAAGTTTTGTTTTTAATGTTTTTCTATTTTGAGGTAAAATGTCAATACAATGCCTTGAAATACATAAATTTTAAGTGTACATTAAAAGAGTTCTAACAAACGCATATAATTATGTAACCTAAATTTCCTGTCAAGGCATAGAACATTACCAGCACCTCTGGAAGTTCCTTTGCAGTTAACCTCCCCTTGCTGCAGTCTTACTGTAAATAGAATCAGGTAGTATATTCTCTTTTGCATATGACTTCTTTAAAAGTTACCATAATTTTCATTCATACATCTTTTTTGCATTTATCAGTAGTTTGTTCTTTTTAAATTGCTTAGTGGTATTCTACTCTACAAATATGTCACAGTTTATTTATCCTATTGATGCACACTAGGGCTTATTTCTAGTTTGAAATGTTCCAAATAAACTGCTATAGACATTTTTTGTGTAGGTCTTTGATGAACATATGTTTTAATTTCTTTGGGGAAAATGCCTCGGAGTAGAATTCCATTTAGTTTACAAAAACCTGCTAGATGTTTTTCCAAAGTGATTTTACCACTTTATGCTCCACAATAATGTTGAATTATTGTGAAAGTAATAATTTTGTGAGAATTTCAGTTGCTCTATATTCTTACCAAGGATTAGTGTTGTCCAGCATTATTTGTGTTCATTTCCAATAAGTAGTTTGTAAATTTCATGGCTTGGCTTATGTTTCCTTGATTCTTGAGCTCCTTTTTTAGATGCGTTTGTGATCATTGGTCATTTATTTGTTCATCTCTCTTTGGACAGTGTCTCTTTTTATCTTTTAACCATATTTTATTGGCTTTGTCATATTAAGTTGTAGTAGTTCTTTATATATCTTGAATACTGTTCCTTTGTCAAATGTATATTTTGTACATAGTTTCTTTGTGTAGTCAGGCAAAATCTAATTTAAAAAATTTAGCTTACTCAGTAAAAATAGACAATAGACTGAAATCATTTTTGAAAAAAAATATGAAAAGCACCTGCTGCATTAGAAAGAGCATTGTTATATTTGATATCTAATGAGCTGTGAGAAGAAGTACAACATCTTGATTAAATTTGTAAAGGTGCTATGAAAACCTGTGATGACAGGAAAAATTCAAAGGGCTAATAGTACACTTGGAAAAATGATTTAGCTTACAAATGTAAGTATACAGCTGGTAGAATTATATGAGGGCCAAACCTAAGGAAATATGCATGCATTTTGTAGTAAACTTTGATTAATAACAAATAATGAATCACTGATATGTGATAGTCTTCACTTTGAACAGCCTGGCATTTTGGGGATTGTATTACTGAGGGAAAGATTACTTCAGCTAAGAAGAGGCCATGTGGTAGTTCCTGCTTATTTTTATTTTTATTTTATTATTTTAAAAAATTTATTCATACAGAACTGGGGTACAGGCCAGAGGTGCAAGGGGGGTGAAATGATTCACCAGAGACAGTGGGGAGCAGAACATGCAGATCAAGGAAGCACACTCTGAGGGAAGCAATGGGTGGGTCAAGAGAGGTCTGCCAGTCATGTGTATCAGCTCTGGGGCTGGGGATTGAACTCGCACTGAGGAGGCTGTGGCTTGCTTGCAGTGCTGCACTTTAACCCGCTGTGCCACCAGGGAGGGCCCCCTGCTTTTTTTTTTTTTTTAATTTTATAATAGTTTATTTTTACATATTTTTGTGCATTTTTCCATCTCAGTTGCAATCCCCAACCCTTGCTTATTTCTAAAGGACTGTTTTGAAAAGAAGATAATGTCTATAAAGACGTTTTTACAACATTTCACAGAGATGTGTTGAGTTAAAATATATGTGAACTCAATTTCTGTACAGGTTGAAGTACACATATTGTGCTCCAGCCTTTCCCCATGCATTCTTAAATCTCACAGTCCAGGAAAATAAGAAATTCAGAAGTCCATTCTTCTCATTATTATACTACTATGCTTTATTTTTGTTGTAGTGCTGTGGTGATATAATGGTATTATAATGGAGTAAATGAGTTACTCTGTGTATGGAGTTTTGATTTACATATTTAATAACTTTTTGTTACTGTAGTATTATGCCAGTGATCACACTCACGTACTGTGTCTAATCTTTCCTGTTCTTAGAGAAAAGCCCTATAAAGTTTATGTCTTTACAGTTTCAGATTATGTATTATCATTTGGACACAACCCTTCACGTTCCCTCCCTTCAGCCTCCACCCTATGTGGCTATTCAGGTTTGGTTTTGCCTTCTTATGTTGAGTAATATTAATGTTCCCCTTAGTAAAGAAGACTTGAAGCCCACTTTTCTAGGCATGTTTGTTTCCAATCTTCTGAACCAAATCCATGGGTAGTTAGGCCAGCCCAAGGGACAAGGTCAAGAATTTCCTAGGAAGATACAGTGTTCCTCAGAAAGACTCCAGTGGGCCCTCCCTGGTGGCGCAGCTGGTTAAAGCACTGCACTGAGAAGCTAAAGCCACTTCCGCATGAGTTCGATTCCCCCCTGCCCCGGAGGAGATCCACATGGCGTGGCAGACTTCTCCCCACCCGCCTGCTGCTCCCCTCAGCAGT